CCTGCCAGGTGGGCCCTGCTAAGCTGGCACCGATGGCAGAGGGAGACCTGCCTTCTGCCAGGTGGGCCCTGCCTTGCTGCTGCCAGGTGGGCCCTGCTAAGCTGGCACCGATGGCAGAGGGAGACCTGCTTCCTGCCAGGTGGGCCCTGCTAAGCTGGCACCGATGGCAGAGGGAGACCTGCTCCCTGCAAGGTGGGCCCTGCTAAGCTGGCACCGATGGCAGAGGGAGACCTGCTTCCTGTCAGGTGGACCTGGCCTGTGGGGAGCCACCCTCCACAGTTGCAACCTGAGCTTCGGCGGCCGCTCACCTGCAGTTTCCGAAGCTGCTTGATGGCTTCCTCCCTCCCCTTGATGGCTGAGTCAGCCTGAAGCTCCAGGTCTTTCAGGTCCCCTTCCAGCTTCTTCTTGGCCGCAGCTGCCAGGGCACGTTGCTTTCGTTCGTCTTCCAGTTCCGTCTCGTACTCATGAAGCTGAACGAGAAGGAGAGGTGTGTGCCCCTGGGTGCCTCCTGGAGGCCCGTGCCCCTTCCCTCAGCAGGCTGTGGCGCTCCAGGTGCACACAGCTCCTTCCCCAGCATGACCACCTGCCAGATGGGTTCCTCATGTCCCCAGTTGCAAATAACTGTCTCTATGAAGTCATCCATGGGGGTGATAGAAACGAGAGAGGCCGCCCTACTTCCCTTTTCCCGCCTCCCCAACTCACCTGCCTCTGGAGCTGCCGCCTCTTTTCTTCGTTCTGCTCATCCCGGGCTTGGAGATCTCTCTCAAACTGGCCCTTGAGGGCCTGCATGTTGACCTCCAGCCGTAGCTTGGCATCTTCCGTCGCCTGCAGCTCATCTTCCAGCTCTTCCAGCTGGGTCTTCATCTCCTCCATCTGGGTCTCCAGGGCCCGCTTGGACTTCTCCAGCTCATGGACCTGGAAGGCAGGGCAGGCAGCACCTTGACATGAAGCTTGATCTCATGCAGACGGTCAAGAACTCCCCAGGGAAAGGCAGCTCCCTGGGGCAGGAACAGCCTATGCTTTCTGCAGGTGCATGGCCGGCAGTGAAGACGGTCCCTAAGAGCTCCGCCCAGAGCCTTCCACTCAGAGCCCTGAGCTCAGTCTTTTTCCTCCACTGCTGTTCCCAGCCCCTCCATCTTTGCACCAGCCCAGGAACCACCTTCCATCCTGTTATTACGTAATAAAGAGAAGCCCAAGCCAGCCCCCATAGGCTGACAGAGCACAGGGGCAGCTTGGTGGAAGGGGCACCAGCAAAGACACTGAAGAGCCACTTACATTCTTGCCCACATCGTCCTTGGAGCTGACGAGATCTTCCATTTCGGCTTTGAGCATCTTGTTGGTCCTCTCGAGTTCCTCTTTGGCTTCCAACGCCTCTTCCAGGGCCCGAGCCAGGGACAAGGCCTTGGTTTCCTTTTCCCTGGCTTCCGCCTCGGCTCTGTCCCTTTCATCCGCATATTTGGAAGAGATGTTTTTCTCCTCGGCCAGTAACTATGAAACAACAGAAGACCCCGAGGTGACTCCAATGTTTAGCTCACTGAATGATACAAGTCGGGGAGAAGCCTGCGTCCTGCTGA